GAACAAGGACACGGACAGTTGTGTTACTGCTCAGCTGGGGAACTCCAGAGTCTTTAGCTTCAATGTGAAATAGAAACTCCTTCTCTTTCTCATAATCAAAAGACTGGAGTGCGTAAAGGTTGCCGTTTTCTGGATTAACTGAAAAATATTTTGATATGGAGACGTTCTGAATGTTTTTCTCCAAAATGGAATAAGTAAGATACTTGTTTTCATTCAGATCCGTGTCAAGAGCGGTTAAAGCGCTTAGTACAGCTCCTGGCGCATTGTTTTCCATCACAGAAATTGTGTAGAAAGGCTTTGGGAATACAGGAGGATTATCATTGACGTCCAAGAGCTCCAACGTGATGGATTTATTACTAGATAGAGGAGGTGAACCCCTATCCGTGACAATGAAAGTGATGTTATACTCGGGAACCCTTTCCCGATCCAGAGGTTCTGAAACAACCAGCGCGTAATAGTTTTCGGACGATTTCTGAAGCGTGAAAGGCAATAATTCTGACAGATGAACATCGACCTTACCGTTTTCCCCTGCATCTCTATCACTTACACTGATCAGCGCTATCACTGTGTCAATTGTAACGTTTTCTTTAATGGGACTCTTAAAAGACTTGATAGAGATTTCCGGATAGTTGTCGTTGATATCAATTACGAATACTATTAATTTACAATGCGCAGACATTGAATTGGGTCCCTTGTCCTTCGCCTGTACATGTATTTCAAAGATTCTAGTTTCTTCATAATCTATTGCTTCATTCACACGAATCTCCCCGTTTACGGTGTTCATACTAAACGTTTTCTGCGTCCTTTGAAGGGTATATGGACTGAAAGAATATACGATTTCTGCATTTGCACCATAATCCAAGTCAGTGGCATTTAATTTAATGACAAGAGATCCTATTGGGGAATTTTCTGTTATGTTCACAGTGTACATTTGCTGATCAAACTGAGGGGCGTTGTCGTTCGTATCCAGAACACGGACGGTGATGCTGGCAGTGCCGGACTGTGGAGGGGCTCCGCCATCTATAGCGGTGAGTATTAAATTATGAACCGCCTGTTCCTCTCTATCCAAAGCCTTCTTCAATACCAAGTCAGCAAATTTTGACCCGTCTCTCCCTGTCTGAATCGCGATACTAAAATATTCGTTTTCACTTAGATGGTAGGTTTTTACCGAATTCGTACCAACGTCTGGATCAACGGCGTTGTCTAGGAAAAACCTTTCTCCCGGTGAAGCCAATTCGGAAATATCAAGCTTTATTCTTTCCCTCAGGAAATAAGGCGCATTGTCATTAATATCTGTAATTTCCAGCTGAATATTAAATATCTGAAGCGGGCTTTCGATTATAACATCCATCTTCAGAAAACAAGTAGCCTTGGAACTACATAATTGTTCCCTATCTATCTTTTCTGTGATATATAGTTCTCCGGTGTCTTTGTTGACATCTACATATTTCTTGCTAGCAATGATATCGAGCCGCATTTCGCGATCAGATAGACTGCTAACATCTAGTCCCAGATCAGCAGCTAAATTTGCAACTACGGAGCCTTCTCCCATTTCTTCGGGAATGGAATATCGCGTTAAAGAAAATGCAAAACTCCATGTAACTGAAAAAAAGAAAACGGAGACATACCTTTTCCTGAAGCGAACGATAAAATGTGCGGTCATTGTTATAGTTGCCAACTGCCTATAATCCAACTGGGAAAACGATTAATGTCGCAAAACGATGAATTATTTAAAATATTTTAAGAAAATACAGACTTATTAATGCTAGCGGCAGCCTAATATCCTAACGATTTCAATAACCCCTTCCTTTTGCACATGAAACAAGTATTTTGAAAGCAACTGATTCCTCGCGTACTGCAGTGCTTCCACTGTCTTGAGAATCTGCAATGGCTTCTTCTATATTACGTTATGAGTGCTGATTTGCTGACACTGTAATAGTGAACAGCGACACCGTACGTTTTGAAAAGCCTAAAACTGTAAATCTGAATTAACACGTGCACAAAGTTTACAAAGGAAATATTTTAGACTATAAAATAATAAACAGGGATGAGTGCGTTATTACCAATCTTGGTTCTTATCCCAGATATTTAGCGCCATTATCCAGTTTCTTTTTATCATGTGTTTCATTGGCAAATCTGAATACATTATGAAGACTGGGTGATAAAATAATAATAATAATAATGTTCTTGTTATATACAGCATCTGTGTAAATACTGAAAAATACGTTATATTTATTTTTTTTCCATATTAGCAATGTTACAAATAGGGTGCAAGTTAAAAAGTCCTGATTAATCTCTAGCTCCTGCGCTAGTCAATATAATCACATTGTAACCTTCTCACCTGCAATGTTGACGCTGCTGATTCGCTCGTCTCTGTGAGTCCTGTGCTCCTTGGTATACTGGAAACGATGTATCCAGCCCCGTTCGGCACAGTCTGTCTAACAACCACTTTTCCCTTCCGTGT